CGCAAAATTGTATGGTGGCAGATGTTTTGCCAAACTTGACCTGTCTGATGCATACCTTCAGGTAGATGTTGCCGAGGATTCGAAAGAGCTATTGACGATCAACACCCATCGTGGGCTGTACCAGTACAACCGCTTTCTTTTTGGCGTAAAAACGGCCCCAGTTATATTTCAACAGCTGATGGATACCATGTTGGCAGGAGTTCCTAGAGCCGCCGCATACTTGCATGACATTATCGTAATGGGCCGGACAACGGAGGAATTGTTTGACCACTTGGACAATGTGCTTTATCGTATCCAGTCTTATGGTTTCCGGGCTCGTGAAGACAATGTACTTCACTCCGACCTTGGTTTTATCTTTGAAAAGAATGGCCATCGGCCAGCTCCAGCAAACATCGAAACCATAAGGAAGATGCCTCCACCAGCAGATATTCAATCGCTACGTTCCTTCTGTGGTCTCATCAGTTACTACAGCGCATTTTTGCCTGAGTTGTGTCGCCTGCGTGCCTCTCTGAACAGGCTTTTGACCAAAGACCACGCCTGGAACTGGACCCGAGGGTGCCAGCGGCTTTTTGAACGGATCAAGTCATTACTCGCCCCAGACTTGTTGCTGACTCATTACGATCCATCTCGGGGCACTCTTGCAACAGACGCATCAAATCATGGTATTGGAGCAGTTATTTCACATTTGTACCCGTATGGATCCCAGAAAGCGATCGCTCACGCGACCAGGACTTTGACAAAAGCGGAGCAAAACTACAGCCAGCTCGAAAAGGAAGCATTAGCAATAATCTTTGGTGTGAAGATATTCTATTAGATGCTATATGGTCGCCGATTCAAACTACTGACTGATCACAAACCATTGCTGGCCATCTTCGGCTCGAAGAAGGGCATCGCTGCCTACACGGCTAACCGTCTCCAACGCTGCGCGCTCACTCTGCTGACCTATGATTTTGTGATCAGCTGCCAAACAACCGGTTCCATAGGCCAAACGGACGCACTGTCACGCCTTATACTCCCATCAGCAAGATGAAGAAGACAAGATCATAGCCCCAGTTTGAGTTTGAATCGGACGTCAGGTTTATTGTGAGTGACGCATTACGTGACCTACCAGTGACCGCGGAAGCCGTACGAGCAGCTTCGCGACCCTGTACTCAAGGTGGTAGCACAATTCAACAGGGCGCCTTGGCCACGCACATGTTCGTTAGCCGAATTAAAGCAGTATTGCCAAAGGAGGCATGCAGTCTCCATCGTGGACGGCTGCATATTGTTCTCGGAACGAGTTGTCATCCCCAAGACACTACAAAAGCTCTTACTTAGGAAGTTTCATGCAGAGCATCCTGGCATCATCCGAATTAAGGCGCTTACCCGAAGCTTTGTGTACTGACCATTCATGAACAGACAACTGGAAGAAATGGCTAAAACTTGTCACAAGTACGCTGCGATTTCAAGGGCACCAATAAATCCGGAATTCCATTCATGGCCGAAACCAACGCGACCATGATGCCATGTCCACGTCGATTTCGCAGGACCGATCAACGGCCAAAGTTTTCTCATTGCTGTCGACTCTTACGGCAAATGGCCTGAAATGTTCCTGATGGGCAGCACATCGACCTAAGCAACCGTAACAAAACTACTTTAAAGCTTCGCCAGATTCGATTTTCCAGAAACACTTGTAACTGATAACAGCACACAGTTCACCTCAACACTTTTCACTAAGTTCTGCAGACAAGGCGCTGTCCAGCACATCCGCTCACCAGGCAGAGAGATTCTCGGATACTTTCAAGTGTGCTCTCCTCAAACCGAAGGTGGAAGAATGTATAGAGGGGGTGATTGACCGACTCCTCCTCTTATACCGATCAACACCAAACTCACAAGTGCCGGGTGGAGTCTCGCCAGCACAGGTCATGATGAACAGAAAGCTGCTATGCTATCTGATGCCATTCGACCAAGCCCGCTGCCTTCTGTTGTCGAAAGGGACCGAAGAATGGAATGTGTTTTTAACCGGCGACATGGGGCTAAGCAACAATCCTTCTTGCCAGGGCAGACAGTGCTAGTACGGGACTATCGGACAGGTCACGCACGTTGGACACCTGTTACGATCAGAAGCAAGCGCGGGAACGTTGTGATGTATGAAGTGATCGTGGGGACGCATGCCTACGTTCGCCACACAAACCAGCTACGGTCAACGCTATGCCAACCAGAGGAAGTAAAGCCTGTCGAGCTTCCGTTTGACTTGTTGGTAGGGAGCTTCAACCTGCCAAAGGAGCCTATGGATGTTGGCTGTCAGTCCAGCCACGCAAATGCACCACAGATCCCGGGACCCGTTTCTCGCGCACTACAGCCGAGGCGATGGACCGACAGAATTGGGACACCGTCCAGGAGACTAAAAGTCAATCCCAGACTTTCTTCATACGCCGTAGAGCCTATCTCAGGAGGGGAGGTGACCACGAGAAATTAAGAATTTCCTGGAAAATCCATTATTTTGCGCTACTCGATTTTTAACTATTATCGCAACGATTTTAAACCTGGAATATTCTAAGGTCAGCACGTGATTAGCAACCTTCCTGAAGATCGGCCAAGTCTACGGGGAACAACTAATCTTGGTATCTGACCTTCTAATTCTATAAGTTGGAGGTCATGAGGTGACCTGTAAATATGACCATGGTCTGCCCCCTGTGTACAGCTCTGTTTGACTGCCGTTACCACGTTATTTTGGATAAGGATCTTTTGACTTTTTCCATTGGGTTTGAAGTCGAGCGAAATAGATTAAGTGCATGCATCGGAATTGCAATTGTATTTGTCTGTTCTTGTCTCTGCTTATGCGTGCTCCCCTTCAGTATTCTAAAAAGGTTTCGTGGGTATCCGTTGTTGTGTAACATGCGGTATAGGTGCTTCTCTTCCTTAATCGCGTTGTACTGTAGTTTGTCTCCGCTTTCCTTTTAGTATAGCTTGGATTCTGCTCTTTTTGTGGTTCATCGGGTGATTACTGTGGTAGTTTAATATTTTGGTCCTTGTGTGTCTTCCGTCTGCTCCGTCTGTGTTCTTGTGAACCAAAACATGCAGGAATGATAATTTCTTGGCTTCCTCCAATTCAGCAATGAACTTGATGTCCTCGAATGTGTTGTTGCCCTAATCGTGTGTAAGCTGTACTGACTTTCGTTTTATTATGACAAATATATCGTCAACGTATCGGATTCAAAGCTTTGGGTTGATCAGTGACATAGTAATGTGCTCCAAGTTTTGCGTTATAGCTTTGGCAATAAGCTCTGATACGGGTGACCCCATAGGCGCCCCTTTCATTTGTTGATGTATTTGTCCATCAGAGGTGAAATAAATAGCCATACATAGGTCTTGCCATGCTCGGTTGTTTCCAGAGTAATTCCATCATGGTATCCTTGGCAAGTTCGTGCTTGATCAATGTGAAGAGAGTAGTGACATCAAATGACAGCATAATTTCATCGTCCCTTATGCCGACCCCTCGCAGTTTGTCACTGAACTGTCTAGCGTTGTTTACGCTTTGCTCAGATCCGGTAACGAGGGATTTTAATTTCTTCCCAAGGTTCTTTGCCAGCTTGTATGACGGTGTTCCCGGTAGCGAGATGCTTGATCGAAGTAAAGCCCCGTCTTTGTGTACCTTCCCTGGCCCATAGAATTGTGCAATATTGATATCGTCCGCTTTCATTCTCCATCGTTTTGGCTGGTGATTTAATTTGCCACTTGCAGTTTCTTCGGAGTTGTTTTGTTTCAGGTGACTAGTTTTGAGCTAGAATACCGGTCGATATAGCGAAAGGTAGTCATGTCGGATAGTTGTTTAGCCTTTTCAATGTAATCCGGTTTATCCAATACCACTGCCATGCGTACTTTGTCTGCTGGAAGGATTATGACGTTTTCTTCTCCTTGTAGGTTTCTGAGCGCTTCTGTTTTCTAGATGGAGCTTGTGTTGCTTTGTTTCGGGTGATCATTGGAACAGTTCTTTGGCGAATTTGCTGCTGAGCTTCTTCTGACAGTCCGTTTATCTTCAAAACACATTCTATGCTAGCCAAGTTATCCCTTTGAGAAGCATCCATGACGTTAACATTGGGTCTTTTGATTAACACGTCCCTTTTTAATTGTGTTGAGTAGGCGGTGCTATAAGTTTCCGTCCCATCGTTCACTGTTGTCAAGATCAATCTTCTTAGTGAGCTTGTTCAATTTGGCGCTTAATGCTGTTTTACGTTTTGTTTCTCGTGTTGCTCACTGGATTCAAGCTCTGCGTATTTTTCTGGACCCATGACAATGAGTCAGTTAGTCCCATTATCTTTCATAACTTTTTGATATTTATCTAGTCGATTATGGGCATCTGTTATGATCAACTTTACCTTACGCTTCCCATACTGCCTGGCTAAAGCCCAGGCATCTGGTTGGTCTTGAGCCGGTCTCTGATTCGCATTTGGTGTGAGAACATTTCTCTTCAGGCTTTTATGAAGGAAATATAGTTGTTTACGCGTGAAAGCTTATCGACAGGCAATCTTTTGGCAACAAAGCGCTTGCTGTAGCGTTGTACGCCTGAATAGCTCTGATATAGAAATAAATGTGGATAGCTACGCTATGCCACACACTGACGCACTGATGATGTCACCTCGACTGGTGAGGAAACGTTTGCAACCAAATTGCCAAGCTCATTGAACAGTTCATCAAACAACAACCTGAGCTACCCGCATGTACCTGTATATCTATTCCTTCTTTGCTGCGTTGACCTCTCTCGCTGACTGTTTCTTGCACTGGTTATATCATGGCACCCTCTTATCATGTAATTCACCCCTTTCCCAACACGACTTGGCATTCCAGCTAAGGTCACACCACTGTATTTACTTTGTTTGTTCATATTCAACTATTTCATGGTCCTCTTCCCTGCGAATCGTGTATTCTTTCGAATTTTAACGTTTCCACTCACTGGCTGCAATCCATCTTCTGCGGCTTTTTCTTCATTTGGATCATTTTATTCATCACCTCACCTTTAGGATACCAGAAATCGCCTAAAACAACTACTTCACGATTCAGAGTGCATGCGAAAATCAACCGTTTCGGTGTCAACACACGCTGCCTCTCCACCAACACAGACACAAGGCACGGAGATGGGATTCGACCTTATGTGCGATGAGTGCGAACGCATGCAAAGAACCATTGGGGATCTTCGTCGTCAGCTGGATGAACTCGCATCGAATCACACTGCACAGTGCACAGAACCTAGTCCCTCGGCAAAACAATCTAACACGTGAGTATTGACTGCATTTAGATGATCATTTATATGCTGTGTAATCCAAATGATCCAATTCTTCCATTCCCCTGAGACTGTATTTAAGAGCAAGTATAAAGGTTTCTGTACAACTCTATCGAATTATGAAAATTCAAACGCATTTAATTGCGTATTGTCAGCGGCAGTGTTTGGTCAGTTACTCGTTTATTCTTGTTCGGTTAGGAATTGGTATTGTTCTCATTATTTCTGGGTATAGGATGTATTTTTTGCATTGTATGTGCACCGTTTCACAAAAGCACAAGTTTCTGAAATAATTGTGGATACGTGTTGTGAAACACCTCACTGAATCGGTCTCTAATAGTCCCTCTAGTAGTGTATTCCATAAGTTTACGATTCTTCGTTCTATACAAAGCTGATGTGATAGCTTGTTCATGAAGGGGCCCCTGAGTTTGTAACTGTGTCCTCGAGTGTTACAGGGTTTCCCCAGCTGAAATATTGGCCGCAGTATGGGGGAAGTGATTCAAGTGTAGTACTCGATGGGTCATAATAAGGTCAATTCTTACTCGGCGGTAGGATTGCTGATTACTGGCTAGAAGCAGAAAGTAGAGTCTGCTCTGTGTAGCTTCATCTAATGTCACTCAGGGACAAAGACCCGTTATGTTATGTTGCGCTCAACATATAAAGTGTTTGTCCAGGAACTTCTTAAATTTCGACACCGACTTTGCCTCAACTACGTGCTGCGGCAGGTCTTTCCATGCATTCACCACTCTGCGTTCGAAACAGAGTTGGTGAGCGACTCGCTTCAAATCCGGTACGCCAAGCTTGTACCGTTGTCCTCGTGTGCTGCTTGGTCTGCGCAAATGAAGCATCGGTCTCGCCATGGGGTAATCTCCCCGATGTAATATCCGATGCATCATGATGAGGTCAGCCTGCATTCGACGATAAGTTAGGGTGTACAGCCCTAGTTTCTTACACCAGTCTTCGTACGACACACCTCGTAAGTTGGGAATCAGCCCGGTGGCTACATGCTATACTCGCTCAATCTTTTCTACCTCGCCCCGGGTGATAGAACGATGCGCGGGAGAGCCATACTCTAGCATTGGTCGTATTATTGAGACGAAGAGGCGATTGGCAATATCTTCGGACCAAGTGCTGAAACTGCGCCTGCGCGCCCAAAGCATACGAAGGCTGTTTTGGTAAAGCCTATTCGTGTTGTCCATGAACTTTAGGTCGTAGCGTGAGAGTACACCGAGGTCGCGCACGAAAGGCGCGGGATGCAACGGTTGACCATCCACCGTGTAGATTCGACTGTGCTCACACTTACCCAACCTCACGAATTGCGACTTGACCGGGTTGATCGGTGGTTGACCTCTGCAGACCACGTGAGGAGGCGGTCGAGGTCCTGCTGAAGCAGGTCACAATCATTGGGTGTGCAGATTATTCTCCACACCTTCAAGTCATCTGCGAACAACGCACATGGTGATTGGAGTAGCTTAGGCACATCGTTTACATGGATGAGAAACAAAATCGGCCCCAGTACAGTGCCTTGGGGCACGCCACTGCTCGATGGATACCAGTCGGTTAAATGGTTGCCCACCTGGACCCTCCACTTTCGATCATCTAAGGAATTCCTGATCCATTGGTGCAGCGAGCCACCAACACCGCACACCCTCAGCCTGTCGAGGAGCACTGCATGATTTACCTTGTTAAACGCTTTACTGAAGTCAATGTGAATGACGTCGACCGATTTGCCTTGGTTCAGCGCTTGTAACCATTCGTGCCTCGTCAACAGTAGATTGGTGATGCACGAGCGACCTTTCACCAAACCATGCTGTGCAGGCGTCAAGAAGCTTTTCGATTCGCGAAGCTGCATGAGGCTGTTCTTCATGATCTTCTTGACCGTTTTTGCCAAAACAGCAGTCAGGCAGATCAACCGGTAGTTATCCACTTTGTTTGGGTTACCACCTTTCAATATTGGTTTTACGACTGAGCATTTCCAGTCACCCGGTAATATATCAGTGGCTAGTGACCTGTTGAACAGCTCAGTTACAGTAGGCGAGATGATGGCCGATAGGGGCTTGAAAATCAATACGTGGATTCCATCTGGCCCAGCAGGCTTCGTCCCGTCAAGACTTACTAGTAGCTTGCGTACATCCTCAATGCTGCAGTCTAGGCTTTGTAGTTCAGCGGGAGCGGTACTCGTCGAACTCTGTACAGTCATCTGGTCACTTGCAAATACGGAGGCGAAGTGTGCCGCCAATGCGGACGCACGATCTATGCTCAAGGTTAGGGGCTGTCCATCTGAGCTTTCCAACACTGCAACATTGCCTGCAGGCCTCAGGCGCCGCTACACGTAGGCGAAGATCCTCTTGGGCGCAGTTTTTGCAGCGGTTGCAAGCTGCTCTTCTACTTTTTTGTTTTCACTTTTTTGCAGAGATTTCGCTGTACCTTGTACGTCTTGTAATTCTCATCAGAACCAGATAACACGAGTTTTTTCCATAGTCTGCGTCGACCTCGTCGGGTCAGTTTGCTGTACTCCTTGTCGAACCAATGTGGTTCGACTGGCCCAACTTTCCGATACTTCAGGGGCACAAATTGGGCACAAAACGATTTCACTCCCTCTTTAATGATAGCCCAAAAGGTTTCAATAGACGAATCCTCCGGTAAAGACCAGTCCATCTGGCTCGCTGCTCTAGTAAGGCCATTAAAGTCCGCCTTCCGATAGTTGAAGGCTGGCTGCAGCGGGGGAGAATACGGTAGCTGCAGTTCCAAGCTGGCTATGATCATCTAGTGGTCACTCGCTCCCAGAGGCTCTAAGACTTGAATGTCATGCACACTTTGCTCACAGCTGGTTAAAAGCAGGTCTAAGCACGATGGAGTCGCGCGCGCAGTTAGGCGTGTCGGTTGGTTGATGTGCTGTGTGGCCCCGGTTTCAAATATCAATTCCGTAAGTTTCTCTCAACTTCACAATGGCCGGGGAGAAGTTCAGCCTCAGGCCACTGTATTCGGGGTAACTTGAAATCGCCCATGAGTAGGAACAGCGGACGACTAATGTGGTTGCGGACATGCGGCAACCAGTCCAATCAGCGACTCAGTGGACTGCGATATACCACGCCTACGAGCATCTCGCAGCGTCTGAGGTGTATAGAGTCCGAGCCTTTCACAACGTTTTTCATAAGGAAGCTTTCGTAGACTGGACATCATTCTACTTGCGATGTGCTGTATTTTCTCCAGCTTTTCAGTTTCCCACTGGGTTAACGGATGGTAAGCTGAGGTGCCGTATTCAAGGATTGATCTGATGAGCGAGGTGAATAGACGAGAGACAGTTTTTTCAGACCATGTGGAGAAACTGCATCATAATGCCCAGAGCATACGAAGTCCTGCACGATACAATTTCTCTGTATTTTCTAGTAGTCGCACATCATGTCGCGAGAGCACTCCTAATTCTCTGACAGAGGTATTAGGGTGGAGCAACTGGCCGTCCAAGGTGCATGGTGGAATGGCTGCACGTCTAGTGATACTGATGAACTCCAACTTATCGATAGCCCGAGAAATGTCGTATGAGCTTCGGATGACCGATTACGACCAGTGACCATCGTTAGCGAAAGTTGTCTTTTTTCGCGAATAGCAGTCACTGCCACTACTATTCGTGATTTTCCTTCGCTTCTGTCTTACTAGCATATTTCACCCCTTGTGATGGTGCTCTGTTAGTGGTCACAGTACTTTTTATGTTTGCCTTTATTAACTCCTCGGCAAGGTATACCTATCTTTCCCTTACCAGTTACCAGTACGTCTCAGCGGAGCGTGTTGGCATCTTTTCTGGTACTTCTGGCTTATGCCGTGCAACAGGAGTTGTCCATTTGTTTCAGCAACTCTACAACCATGTTTTTTGCACCTTGTTCCTGATACCTTTTCGCTTACATGCCTTCCACTGTGTGTCACATCGACCCAGGATGTGCACACCGAACAATCCACCTTTTTATTTGTCTGTCTTGTGAGTATTGATGAATCACGAGCCTCGTTGACTGACCTGGAATACAGTCGTTCTTCCCCGTTTAAGCTTTATCCTTCCAAAGCAATTCGAAATTTTCTACTTGACTTTGTTGTCATCTAATTTATATTACCACTTTAAGACTCGCGTTTGGAGGACGTCAGTTGTTCAACCTAGCAACGTGTTACTCACCATGGGCTGAAAATGTTCACTTTCTCCGCATTGGCCACTAGATCTTGGACTTATGTGTAACTTCTATTGCATTTGTATCTATTTAGTATCAACGACTGCCAGATATCAATTCATTTGGTAGCGCACACCTGGTATGACTTTTTGCATTGCACTCTAATCGTTTCACTTTTCTTCGTAGGCATACCGTCGATGAGCCGGCGGAAGATTATCAACTCCTCGCCGAATCGCTCAAGGCTGAGCACGCGATGCATGTGCAAGAGATGCAGCGGGATTTTGAACAGCAGCTTCGCTCAAAAGAGTCCGATTTGCGCACTTGTTTTGAAAAGGAGTTGGGTACGTTTGATCTCAATGGATGGCTTCTGGGCTTGGGTTCGTAACTCACATCCACAGCCGCTCCCTTCTCTGTTGGTTAGCTGTTAACCAGGGCATCCGATGCAACCGACAATGGTAGAATGAATCAGCTTCCTTCGAACTTACGTTCCTTCTACTGTATATCGTGCCTCAGTATGCGCGTGGAGCAACTAATGCAACGTCGTATGCGCGTCACGCGTGGAACCGTACGCCGCCCACTAGGTACCATTCGGTTCCGGCCACTCATATCAAGTCACGCACCACCAGCCAGTGATAATCACTCACAGGCTCGTGTCCCCGAGAATTTAGCAGTCGCTTTTTTATGACAGTAACTTATTTGTCATCGTGTACCGCGTCATTTTCTCCAGCTCTGTCCAGTTTTTAAATGGGACTGCGTTGGCACTTGATATATTTATTTTTATGTATAGGGTTGGCGGCATCTGGTTTCGAATTTACCTATCATTACGCCATCCATAGGGACAGCCACAGGACGCCTACGCTTACAGAGGAACCATGGGGGTTTACGCTGCACCACCCACAGCTCCATACACATGCCCTATGTTCAGTGTGAACCCGCTAGAATAAGACCGAGAGGCATGTAGATGCAAGCCAAGTTTCTTCAAGGAAACCGGTTCACACTTCGTCTCACAGTTCACTGTCAGCAGTTTCCAAAAATACACTAGCTGTAGAGTTCACAATGATCGGCAATAGCTCACACCTGACACTCGCACCTTCAAATACACTTCTGACATTCGGAGCACTTTCCCGTATATATACCAATTGTCGAGGCCTCTTTAACAAATTATCTGTGCTTCAATCTCGTCAAGCCTTGATCCCTGCGGACCTGATACTGATAAATGAAACCTGGCTTAACGATGAAATCACAGAGGCGGTGATCGCTCTACCAGCTATGTCCGTTCTACATAGAAATCGACCTTGTAGGGATGGTGTAATTTTATACTATTGCAGTGACCTGCGTCACCAAATCGTTGATGACCCAAACGATCAAGTTGTGAACCCACTTTGGTGCCGCCTGCAACATGGACGTGGCGATACATGTTTACTTGCCCTCGTTTACCGTTCTCCCATGCCCACTCTGGAAATGAACAGCTGTCTAGTTTCTGCTCTGACAACCGTTAGGGCTCAGCCTATCACTCGCGTTCTCCGTGTTGGGGACTTCAACTCTCACGTTCTAGATGTTCCGGTCTCTGCTGGCGAACACTTTAAAGTCGAATACATTAGTCATAATCACGTCACTTCCCCTACGAAATTCAGAACTGGGAACAAGCCGGTCATTCTGGATCTCGTCTTTACAAATGAGGAACTTTTGATCGACATAGTAACAGTGAGTGGCCTCTTGGAGCGCAGTGATCATGCAACACTGCTTTTCCGCCACGCCTGCTGCGCAGAACAACAACAGGAATCTCGAAGAGGTCCGCATAATAACACATCACAACATTTCATCCGACTTCATCAAGACCACTGGTTATTCGTTTCTAGAGGGGCAATCCCCCGATGTCGCTTGGGGGGAGTTCGTCAATCATTTCAGCAATTTTCTTCATCGCATCCAGGCAGATGAAACTTATATTTAAGGGCTCAATTCGATGCATCAACTGGTTGAACTGATGTCAGCATCCTCCCTTACCAGTGACATTTTCAGGACCACTCTAGTGCACCTTTCTCAACAGTATCTAAGCTACGGGCCGAACTTCTCAAAAACAGTCATTCACCAGCATCGAGAAGCAGTGAAAGAATTAACATCAACTTCTCCAGGCCGGACAATGGATGGGGTTGTGTACTCATTTACAAGTCAAACTACATGACAAAGCTGCGCGCTCTCTGGGATGACTCCAGTAATCTATGATTGACTCGATACAAAAGGACAGCACCATGCAGGAAGAGAGTAAAATCACCAACTTGTTAAAAGAACTGAAGCGTTGCAACCGTATCGGTTGCAATTTGTTTTGCCGGTTACCGCCCTTCGGCTCACAACTACCTCGGATCTGCGGACTTACGAAAGTACACAAAGCAAACGTCCCACTATGCCCTATAATTGATATGTCTGGGTCAGCAGTGCACTCAGTCGCCGAGTTGTTATTTGATCACCTCGATCCACTAAGTAAACATGTATCAAGTCACACAGTGAGTGACATGTTCGAATTCATTAAGCGGATAGAAGGCTTAAACGTGAAAGACAAATTGTTGCTGTCCTTCGATGTGCAACCACTCTTTAACAAGGTTCCGCTGATGGAAAGCGCCAACTTTATCTGCGGGTATCTAACTGAAAACAACATCACAATCAGCATTCCCGTACAAAACGCCAAAGAACGAATCTTACACTGCAAATTTACTAGACAGCTCTTGTTTGATGCGAATTATTACCGACAAATTGACAGTGCTGCGATGTGGTCGTTTTTGGAACCGCTATTTGCCGACTTTTTCTCGCAAAGCTTGAAAAATGACCTATTCAGCACCTAATCGCATCACTTGATTGCTATCAACGATATATGGATGATGCATTCATTATTTGGGATACACATACTATGTTCACTTATGGCGGTAGTTTAACAACCTCCATCCATCGTTATAATCTACTTGTGAGACGGAAGAATGCGATAAGCCACCGTTTATGGACACCTTGCTGTGCCGATTTGATTACGCTTCGTTGGTACGAAGGGTGTACCCGAAGCCAACCTGGGTAGGACAGTATACGACCTTCCTCAGTCCTGTGCCGTCGTGTGTAGCTTGTTCTATCGGGCCTCAAACATTTGCAACCCAGACACATTTGAAGTCGAAAAGCAATTCATCGTCAGAACGCTGGTAAAGAATTGGGTACTCTACTGCATTCATCAAGAAGCACCCCATAGTTCATGTTCTTCCTGCATTGACAGCGACTGTGAGAAAAAGGACGTTTTCCTGTCAGTCCTTCTCAAAGGGGATATCCCCCTTTTGATTTGTTGCATCAAAAATTGTCCGCCGCTGTGAACCAGAGCTGCTCAGCCGCTAGAGTTCATATCCTTAGCGAGACTGCGCCACTTCATGGAAAGCATTCCGGTTCAGCCCGAATCGTTTGTCCCATATCAATTCACCTGCATCTGTCGTAGATCGAACGCACGACCAAACGCCTGTCGAGGTGGATAGCGGAGCATTGCCCTGCCTGTCTGAGGCATGGCACTGTCAAGACGATCCAAAGCTCAGTTTTGGTGCACCTTGTGAACAGTGAACATCGTGTTCAAACTAGGAACTCCATCAAAAAACTTCATGTTGTATTGAAACGGGTCCCTAAGGAACTCAGAAAACCTTTACTGGCAAATGCAGTAGCCATTGCGATCAGAAGGCTGAGGTCTGAGCCGTGGAAACCTAGGGCGTTGGTTCGAAATTTGACCTTGTCATGACCGTGGACCACTCAACTGACTTTAAGCTATTTGATCTATGGCGATGTTCAAATATGGCCACTGGCTACAGCACCTCACAGACCCAACCCGGTTTAATTGTGCCAGGCTAGAAATAGCTTCTTATTCCAAAGACAGTTCATAATTGTATATACCTGAAGAGGCTTGTCGAAAAGCAATTTCTTCGCAACTATATTTTGCCTTATGTGTAAAAATGACTTCGCAGAGCACCATGAACTGCCCTAGGTAATCGAGTTGTTTTCTCCCGGAAAGAAGTGATAACAGATGGCAGTCTGGAGCAAGTGTGACGACAATTTGGCATGGTTGAACGAAAGGTAATGTGATGTTGAAGTGGACGAAAACTAAATAGTTTAGCCAAAAGAAGGGGATGTTATTCGGACAATTTGCACCCATTCACATGCGAACTTGTTACGGTGTATCTACACTTTAACCCCTACCTCATACATTGTTTCCATTCTGCAGTCCAGTTTCACTATAGTTTTGATCTGAAGCACACTGAAGTAGGTATTCATTTTTCCCAACAATTGTTTAGACTCATAGTTGCAATTTAGCAGGTAGCCTGTTCCCGATATCCGAGTACCTTATCAAATAAAATTTCCAGCTTATGATTGTTTTAGTTCTACTTGTAGAAAACAACTTTCCCTTATTCCTGATGTCATACTTCCATTCTGAACGAAATGTATACTACTGTGCAGGACACGTGCGCGTTTGTACACTATGTCGAACAGAAACTTTAGGCCCAGTTTCAATGTCCGTAGTCACTAAGGTTTTAATTTAAGCAGTATACAGCGCTCTGAATAGTTTGGCGTTGAAGATTCACTAAGTAGAACTTTGGTGAACCGACGCTGCACGTTCTCCAGGTATTAGAGATAGCGTTTCCTACTACTGCTAGAAATCATCGAACAGTATTCCAACAGAGGGCACACGCAGATCTTGACTACATGAACCTTGGATTCACACGGTGCCAGGGATTTGAACATTACTGTTTGGCCGGCTTCGGCTGCTATGAATTCGATCTTGCCAAAATTCAGGATGCTCGAATAATGGTTGGCTTTCCGCAGAGGTATAAGCAGTCCATATCAATTTTGCATCGATACGCTAATATTGTGCATTTATCCGCAGCGAATGACATTTGCCAGTTGTCACATAATGTTTCGAGAGCCAATGAGTCTCCATATCTAATCTGAAAGATTAAATGCGTACAGTATCTTGCTATCATCAACAAAAGGTAGGGTGTACCATTTTTTCTAGTGTCTGTTATGTCACTAATGTATATCAGGAAGCGCGGAGGACCAAGGGTACTTGGATCATACCACTAGTAACAGGCAGCGATGTTGACCTGTAGATACCTATTTGAAGTTGTTGAGTGCGATAAGCAAAGTATGAACTAAACAGGCCCGCAGAGTTCATGTTGTCAAATGGTGACAAGTGGCCACGCATCACTTTATCAAATGCTTTTTGCATGTCAATAAAAATACTGATAGCTCCATGGCCATTATCCACAAAGCTTGTCAAACAATCCAGGAATTCCAGCTAGCATGTTTGACATGATCGTTTTTGTAGAAAGCC